CGAGACAGCAAGACAAGCGAAAACGGGAAGACTTCCATCGGTTCGAACTTTCACAAATTGAAGATTCGAGCATGCGTTGAATGGTTGGCTTGTGAAGTGGTCCAAGCACGCCTTGAGTGTAGTGTGTACGGAGAATGGGACGAACGGGGATAGCGTGAAACATGAAACCAACCGAACGACCATCACCGCACATGCCTCGGAAATACTTGTACATATGTGTAATCGCAGAGGACAAGGGATGTTGAACAAGTGGAATTACGAACCATCAACATACATACCTTGTTGGAGCCTTGATACCGAAGTCATGTCTCTTTGCTTCTCACGAAGAAGGAGAATGTCCAAATAGGGAAAGAAGAACCTAGCGAGCGCGAGCGAGGGAAAAGCACAGGCTGCCGGTGTCACCTCACAAGATGATCCCAATCCTCAAAATGAACATGGTCTGGGCACCGCAACAATTCCCTTTTGAGAACGAACAAAAATACGAGAAATATTGCAGCGCGATGAGCCTACTTTGACCCGTTTCAACCAAGGCCATGGCTCTACGGAATTCAATGTGGGTATCTCGTCAGTTTGACCGACGTGAAGCCTGGCGATTCCCCACAATAGCCATGTGTCTTTCACCTTTCTTTGTCTGCCATGAGGCGAACTGGAGTTCGTGTGAAGTTGAACGTTCCGCAATTGCCACGTGCTTTTCCTGTTGATTGGTCAAGGATGGAATGTGGGCAATGATAGCATTATTGGCGATCCCATAAGTCGGGACGTTGTCTAGCGGAGGGAGCAATTCCTGTCTACACCCACAGATGCAACTATCGTAGTGAACATTTTGAACTGGACAGGTCACGTCTATATCTGAGACGGGGGAACTACAAGACAAGCCAAATAATTGTGCTACAGTATATCACATATGAATCTCGATCATCCATTAAATGTGCGAGCCGTCCTACAGGGTACGGTAAAGTCGGCTCGCTCGTTATCACCAGGAATATCTAATCCTCTTGATACAGTAGCAATGACCTCCGCAATAACATTACCGATACGACATTGCCCTGCTCCTTCAAACCTCGGCCAAACTGCCGAATTAGAGACCGTTGCAGCTTCCCATTCAACATCGTTCATGTTGCAAGCTAACTTGAAATCTCCTTCTATTTGGACAAAACACCCAGTTCAGAATGGTACAGTATCATCGATTGCTCCTCACGGCTGAAACATGGATCTGATTGACCTTTGATTCATTGCTGTCTGACTTCCACATCATCATCGAGAATAGCTCCTCTGTACTCAATGACCCTCCCTCTGTAGACAACGCTGGGATACTCAACCAACGTGAGGGAGAGGTGATTGATTCGTTATGTCGTCTCCAAGTCCCAGTCATCCCTCTTCCGTTCCTACCTCTGCAAATCCACACGAAAAGCTTTTAGGGTATATCCCAATCCCAATCAAGCTGGCGAATAAAAACAAATAAAGATGTAGCGACGAACTTCCCTGTTCAATCTCAAAAACGGGTTTCCCTAGGCCGTAAGCAGAGCCAGGGAGGAAGGACATCTACCACCAGCCGCGCAAAGTCCATGAAAAAAAAAAGATTTTTGGAAAAGCAAATGCCGCCATACACCCCACAGGAGCCACAATCTACTATGATGCGAAGAGGGCGAACGGAGAAGAGGATGAAGAAACTGCCCGAGAGTGATGGCCGCCCAAGCCGCAAGAGTCGCTCGTGCAATGTCGAATAAGCACAAATATGGCTTGAAAATGACGGAAGGTGAGGGTTTGATGGTCGATGTCGTAGGATAGTGAGGGCTCCGCAGCCTCTGGGATATAGAACGCAAATGTGACAAGCGGGAAGCTGGTAATATACATGTGGACGGAACGCCGGCGGGGGGTCTTGAAGCGGAAGTGCTCGGAGGGGTCTGGGTCGGTAAAAATGCAAGGAAATGCAACACGAATAGTCGTGTCCTCGGGAGTTTCTGACCGAGATTAAAGCGCTGTAGGTTTAGACCCTATTCACAATTAGGTCGATTATCCATATTGAAACGGCTCGTGACGAGGAAGGGAAAGTTGATACATCCACAACCAGCAGTGTGCTAGTTCACTTCACCAAAGGCGATGTGTGCTGCGGAAGCAGATGTATCGGATGTGCAAGTCCAGTATATGAATATCCCCTTACAGGATAAGTTGTTTGAGGTTCCGCTGGATGATCATGTCCTGTACGGAACCCATGGTGATCTTCAGAAGATTGGTATCGGTCGCGTTTGTGAAATGCCCATAGATCTCTTTTTCCGGATTCCGGTTCAGCGCGCGAAACTTGTCCATGAAGTACTTGCTGGCCTGCTTAGCATCGTCCGGGGGACCATGATAATCAGTGAAGCCGTGGTTCGTTATCGGGCTCCGAGGCAGCTTCTCCTTGAAAAGGTCGATCTTGTTGAGGAACAGAATCAAGGCCGACTTGGTGAACCAGTGAGAGTTGGCGATCGACTCCCAGAGCATCAGGGCCTCGTTCATTTGGTTCTGTGCACAGGTTAGCATTCAACTCCTCAACAACGTCCGGGGGTTAGACGCACCCCGTCTTTGTCTTCAACCAGGCATTGATCGTAACCCGAGATAGCTACCAAAAATAGCAAGCAGTTGACGTTCTCAAAGCAGTGAATCCACTTCTTTCGCTCCGATCGCTGGCCACCGACGTCAAACATGCGATAGGTGAGTTGGCCGAGGTCGAAAACAGTCTCGGTGATACCAGTCGTCCGTAGCCTCGACCGCAGCAAATCCTGATCGCTAGGAACATAGTTCCTGTCCCATAGCCTGTCCAGGTCCGAGCAGAAGCTTGGGAATACGTTAGCGAGATGCGGAAACAAGGGGATGAATTGCAAACACATACTATTCGAGGTTGTCGTGCAGAGCAAACTCATTGCCCTTCTCAATGGCTTGCCTAACACCTGAATCTTGCCAGAGCTTCTTCGCAGGCTCAAAATATTCCAGCGGTAGAGGCTCGTCTCCTCTCATTTCGTAGTCGACCATCATTTGCACCATATTCTTCTGTAGATATTCAAGTTAGTTGCGGATATCTTGAGGTGTTAACGCCTGACTGATCAAAACTTGCCTCATTATCTTCATCCTCCAGCTTGATGTTGAACTCGTTCATTGCATCAAAGATCAATCGGAACGATTGCAGAATGTTGGCGAAAATAACAGGCCTCCATTCCAGCTTCTCATTTTTGCTGAAACCTTGTGCATAGATCAACTTCATCTGCTTCAAAACTGTAGACTTTCCGGATTCACCAGCTCCTATTGATGCCAAAGGTTAGAGTCGCCATGGTCACATTGATACGCACGCGATGGCCGCAGTGTAGGGCCCAACAACAACTGGAGTTCCGTACCTAGTAGCAACAGCTTGACCTCCTTCGACAGGCGCTTCTCATCCGCGCGGATCTGCTTGTCCAGCTCGCGCGACCGGGACGCCTCGGCCTCATCTTCCTTTCCACGACCCCCGAAACACATCCTGATAATATGTGTTGGATCCGTGTTGCAGAGCCGGAATGACTTTTCGGAGGATCGGGAAAGATCCAAGTTAACCAACAAGCGAGACCTGCTGTCGCTTTTTAGACGTTTCAGATAGAGCTCTGGTCAATAATACGGCGGGGATTCGCCTGCACGCCAACAGCGATAGTGCGGGCCGCAATGATGAGAAATGCGTATGGAGTCCTGGAATGCCAGGTCCGGGGAGATCCTGATCGGCAATGCGCAATCGACTGTCCGGACTCTTGTCTCTATCCGGGTCGGCGACGACAGCTATAACAGCACGGCTGCCTTTGTGAAGCTGTAGATATATATCCTGGGGAATCGTTGGGTCGAGTCGTTTCTCGATTACGTTGAGGCCCGGTCAGTAGGCGATGCCGGAATCGATCGTTATGTATGCGGTCGGTGGCTTGGCTTCGACGGGACGGGTAAGTGTGGTTGCGTTTAGCACCGGCTGCTTCTAGTCTTGAGGCGTCTGGGTTCGAGCAAAACTGACACCGCAGTTGTTGTTCTCGTGAGAAAAGCGTGGACAAAGAAACCGACGCAGATCAGGCCGTTCGAAACGGGAGAAGAAAAAGGGTGCGCGTGGGTGGGAAGGGGGAGGGAAAATAAGAAAGCCGGGCAAGACAAAAAAGGATGTGAGCGGCTTCTATGTAGCATCGACAACAATGACAAGGGAGTTAGCTTTGCAGCTAGATAAAGCAGGCCGGACTAGTAAAATCACCGCAATGCAGAAATGGCAGGCCGCTCGTCAACCCGTAGCAATGGAGACAGGGACGATCAGACCATCCGTCGGAGATCAGAAAAAGCATGGGCGGGCGGGCAGGCGGGCAACGAACGGCGACGGACGGGAAGGAAGCATGGACGAGGCCGGGGACAGGAGGGCAAGCATTACCTACCTAAAACCGTACTACTACATATTCTCTCGAGGCCCTCCTCGTCCTTTCCGCTTGGATCCTGCCATGTTGCCTTCGTTTCCAGCCTGGTCTCTCTGGGAATGGAATGGCCTCTGGGCAGCCGTTCCTTCTCCTCAAGGTAAGGTACTAGACTAGAGGTACCTACCCAATGACTGGTGGAACGGTGAGTGGGACAGACAGCGAGTGTGGTGGGAGCCACCCACACAGTTCCGTCGCTCCTGCCACTCGCTGAAAGCTGCCCGGAAGGTTCCAATTCTGCATGCTAGGCCCACTGGACCTGGATGCTCCATCCAATCCCCCGTGGCTCATGCCCATCCCACATTGCGGGCCACCGTGCCTGATGGAAGGTGCAGTGCGTTCCATGCCTTGGGCCGGTGTCACTCTCCCGTTTTGGTGGTGCTCAGGGCAGCGGCCGTGCAGTTTATTAGTGCCAACAAGGACATTCAGAAGAATGGGCTCGATTTGGCATTTAGTACACATCATATAGAAGTGAATAATGATGTGATCACCAACTCCATGTTCCCCATAAATGATTCAGAAGAAGGCCATTCAAAACCAATCTTGACAAGATCAGGCTGAAGAAAGCCCACTTCTGTACATTCACTAAAACGACACTGCAGGACCTGACGCGGGCGTTCAGGAATGGAAGGGAAGACCAGGGGTGCAGTGCAGTGCACATGTGGACCCCACGACCACGGCCGCCCTGCATGTCACTCGTGGCTTCGCTTTTTGCAGCACGACCAGGCAGTTTTGAGACTCCAAGAAATTACCATGTCCCAACTGGGGACTTGAGAAAAACAGCACCTGGCCGGGTAGCTTTTAGCATGACACGCTAGAATGTCCGCTAGGGCAACTTTGGCAATTAATCAGAGTGGAATCTTTCCTCGATTCCGCCCGCTGTTTCGGAGTCCCATGTCAGCATATACACCTGTCAGATTTGTGGGTGGGTTTATAGCTAGCCATTTCTAGGTTAGCCTCCCAACCACCCAATTTCTAGCTACTGGAGACCTCCTTCTAGGTATTTCCAATACATTCTAACCTTTTGGCACAATCGTATACAAATTACTCAATTAAGTAATTTGTATGGTTAATTTAATAATTAATAGTCTAATTTACGTATTTATAATAGTGTAATGATATGAATCTAATTAACAAGTAACTAATTACTACTATTATTCCTTTATAGTATTACTTTTGAAAGAAACTACTAATAAAGAAATTTTTATTATTTTAAAATCTTCTGAAGACTAGCATAACTAATACGAAGCTTTCAAACGTCTAGCTATTAGCAATACTTAATTCAATAATAAACTTTTTAAAAGAAGCTTTATAGTTTATTAAATCCTACCGCCCTAGCTAGAGGACTACTTTATAACAAAATAAGCAAAGGAGCGTATTCTTACAATAAAAAAGAATTTTATTCGCTTGAACTGTAGCGTTAAATCTTTTGAACTACTTATTGATAATTTCAAAGACTTAATTAATTTAATAAGTACGAATAATACTAATAGTACTAGTGCTAGTAATTAAATTAGAAACGAAGTAACTAGTAATAACGAAAAGAAATTCTTGGAAAAAGAGTTGGGGAAAATGAAAGTTACGAAGCTAAATAAAATATTGAGAAAGAATATAGTTGTTAGAGTCAATACTGACTTTACTGTTATAAGGAAAATAATATTTAATTAAAATAAAGCAATTTATTTAACTGTTTATAAATATTGGAAAGATTTTAATAATACTGATATAATAATACGCAAATGAATAAACACCTACATTACTACCTACTATACTAATATTAATTTTAAATAAAATAAAATAATAAAAGATTAGCTACAGAAATTGAAAACTAAATCAACTATGATCTTAATGATTATATTACTAAGCTTTGATAAAACCATTAAATCTTGGTTATTAAAATCTATAAAAGAAATCCTCAGAGATTTCAAAAAAAAAATTATCCAATTAGAAAAATATTATAGCGGTTGGAATATATTCTAATATTAACAACTATTTGGCTCCTACATTGTAATTGACTAACTTTATCAATATAATTCACTTATATAAACTTAAATAAGCAGCAAAGTTTATAACGGCCAACGTGATACAAAAGTACGTGCGGTTCAAAACAACTATATAAGATTATTTAAGTATCGAATCTTCCAGCTTCGATTACTTGTATCCTTTTGTAGAGACATGGCCTGGTTGATGTAGTGGTCTGCTACCGTCGTGACATACTCTATTAAACTTAATTATAAATTTAAAAGTAATTGCGTCGTGTACTTACATAATTAGTGTTTCTAATTCGAAAGATTTTATATTTCATTACGAAAACGCTTTACTTTCAACCATAAAAGGAAGAGGAACGTAAATATATATAAAAAAATAAAGCTAACGCTTAAAATTTAGTTATAACTATACAAAAGATTCGAGTTTCTCTTAAATAAAATATATAAATCAAACTAATACTTAGTAATATGCTACTAATATTTAATACCTGAAGTACGAGATAATTTCAAGTAGTATCTGTTAATTACAACTTAGAAGTTAATAAGATATATATATTCTCTTATCACGCTGGAACTATTTATATAATCTACCCAATAGGTAAGCGGTGTTACTTTCTTTCTTAGTCTAAGAGAAAAGCTGTATTGTTGAATACTGGATGAAAACCCTCAGCTTCTCTATTTTTAACCGTAACTCTAAGTCGGAACTTTCATTTCATCTCACCATGGGAGTCCAGGAAGCCATGGTTACTTCGATGTTTGTCGTCCGTTCTTATTGTTATCTTCTTTCGTCCCAGTGAACGTTGTTACTTCTGATTGGCTGGTATACTGAGACTCCGCTTGTGACAGCCGACGCAATACAAAACTACGTGCGGTTCGAAACAACTATATAGGACCACTTGAGTATCGAATTTTCCAGCTTTAATTACTTATATCCTTTTGTAAAGATATGATCTTGTTAATATAGTAGTCTGCCACTGCCATGACACCGCTCTCCTCCACCTTACGCTTCAGTTGCCTCGAGTATGCGCCGGGTGATTCTTTTATTCTATCTTCAGGGTTCAAGGGTAGAGGAGAAGGGGTCTTATTTCTTGTACTGGATTTCTTCGCCGATTAGCCGGTTGGCTGCCTGTAAGACGTTATGAAACAGGAATTTCTTTTGGTAAAAGAGATAACAATTAGTCAATTGGATTTATTAAGATTCCAATTCTGAGAACCCTTATTAGTTGGCTTAGTAATACTGCGACTAATATTACTAAGCTTAAAGAAGAGATTTTCTACACGTGCCTAGTACCGTGTGTTCATAGGTAAACTAAGAAGTAGAGTGAGCCCAACATCATCTTTAACGCCTCTTATAACTAGGAAAGCGGGGAAGATTCTATCTGATTTTTAAAAACCGGATGGAAGTAAGGGAAGCAGAATTCGAACTTACGACCTTTCAGGTAACACTAAAGGTAAACCAAGCTCAGATCTTCCCAACTGAGCTATTCTTTCAATTATATACGTTGCTTTTTTATTTATTCTCAAATGTTTATGATTAACCTGTTCTTAAATACTTAAAAAAGATTGTTTGATTATATTTTTTTCTTTATACAACAAAACCGCTTTTCTTCATATACTAGGCGTCATGCTTATAACATACCTGCTAATTTATAATATTATTGATTTAGTTACTCTAGGTCCTAAATATTCAAATATTCGTATAATATTAATAGTATCCATATTGAAAGTATCCTTACTTATAACTACAAAGCTTATACAATTTTAAAAGTTAAATATAATATTATTCAAAAGTTACAAAGCTGAGACCATAATTTAAACGAATAATTTATAATCAATTTCATAAATTTCAAAGAATGAAAAGAACATTATCCTTCAGTAATAATTATTACTTATTACTATAATCAATATACTTGAGACATATACTTGATTAATAAAAACACAATCTTTTTATATAAAATGTACTAAGGTTAATCAATATAATAATTTATCAGTATAATATTAAAGTAAAATATATCGAAGTCGATAATAGATTAAATAATTATTACGTTAGAACTTTACT